CTCTCCCTCCATCTTCAAAGCCAGCAAGAGAGGGTTGGGTCCTTCTCACCTCACATCACTCTGATCCTCTCTCTGCCTCTTTCTTCCACTAAAAAAAACAAAACAAAACAAAAACGGAGATGAGATGCATATACCATAAAATTAACCATTTTAACATCAACAGTTAAGCGACATTTAGGACGTTCACAGTGTTGTGTAACCACTACCTCTATCTAGTTCCAAAACATTCTCATCACCCCAGAAGGAAGCCCCATTTCCATTAAACAGTCGTGCCCTATTCTTCCCTCTCTCCAGCCTCCGACAAACACCGATCTGTGTTCTGTCACGATGGATTCACCTAATTCCCTATAGTTCATATAAATGAACTCCTAAAATATGTGACCTCTTATGTCTGGCTTCTTTCTCTCAGCATAAAAGTTTTGAGGTCCCTGCTTTCACTTTTCACTTGGAAGGGGGCAAGGGAAGCGTTAAGAAGCTAGGAAGGAGTTGATAGTGGGAGAAATGAAGTAGGCCAGGGCAGGGTTCTCCAAACTTTCTTATGTGTTCAATCACAGAGGAGTTTAAGCAGAGATTCTGATTTAAGGGAGCCAGGAATTGGCCCAGGAGATTGTGGGGTGTGCTATGTGAGGAGTGTTCACGTAGATCCTGTAGGCCTTGAGGAGGTTAAGGAGCTGATATAATAAGAGGCAGAAAAGAATTGATATAAGAGTCAGAAATGAGGAGGGTTGAAGAGTCGGAGGCTGTAATCACACAGCAGGATTTTTGAAGCTGGAGAATCTTTGAACCTGCTGAGCTCATTCCAACCTTCAGACCCGCACATCAGCTTAGCACAATGCCATCCAGACATATAGTTCTAAGTGTTCTAGTGCCCACATTAAAGAGGTAAAAGGAAACAGGCAAAGTTAATTTAATTTTTTAAAAAATTGTTTGATGTTTTATTTATTTGAGAGAGAGAGAGAGAGATTGAGACTGAGTATGAGTGGGGGAGGGGCAGAGAGAGAGGGAGACACAGAATCTGAAGCAGGCTCCAGACTCTGAGATGTCAGCACAGAGCCCGACACAGGGCCTGAACTTGTGAACCACGAGATCATGACCTGAGCTGAAGTCAGACACTTAACCAACTGAGCCACCCGGGTGCCCCCCAAATTAATTTTAATTATATATTTCATTTAACTCGACAAAGCCAAAATATTATCATTCAACATATAATTACTATAAAAATCATTGAGATATTTTATATTATTTTTTTCTAAGTCTTCAAAACCTGGTGTGTATTTGACACTTGCATCACATCCCAGTTTGGACCAACTATATTTTAAGTCCTCAGTAGCCACACGTGGCTTGGGACTGCCTTATTGGTCGGCACAGGCTAGAATGTTCCTGCGTAGCTGCATCCATCTTGTTGAGATCTCTGCCCAGAGACACTTCCCTGGCCATGTGGTCTAAAACCAACCTCCTAACACTGCTTTTTTTTTTTTTTTTTTTTTTTTGGCATTGAGACTTATCACTATTTCATATTTTATTATTTGTTTGCTTATTATCTCCCTCCCTGTAGGATATAAATCTCACGAGGACAAAGACCTGTTTGTCTTCTTTAGTGCAATGTCCCTAGCAACTACATCACATCCACCATAGACTCTCAACAAATGCTTGTTGAATGACTGGGAGAATCCCAGATTAGTCATTTGCTGTCTCCGAAGCCAGCATTCATTTAGTGGGATGTTGGGGGAGGAGCCCCGAGAGGGAGGATCATTACGTAAGACATAAGGTGAGAGGATGCCAGCCTGAAAGCTTTCTATGAGCTCAAAGGTTGACTGGTCAGATGTCAGAGTAGAGGCCAGGTTTCTTTCCAGCTCTGACTCGCCGCGTGTTGATTCAACCGCTGCCTGATCCAGGTCTAGGAGAAACCAGCCCACCGGATGGCACTTCCGCCTGACACCGGTAGGTGGGGCAGCAACACACAGAAAAGTATAGTCAGGGGGCTGATGTAGTTTCTGACCCGTTTCCCAACGGACTCTGCTAATGTGTGGCTCTGGAACTGCCCCGTGTCTCGGGTCTGTGGCGTGGGCTCATAAATGGTGCCACCAGCTTTCCCCGCTGAAGAAACCCAGCCCCCAGCCTCAGTTGTGACTTGTGCTTTCTGAGGAGGTGGCCAGCTTCTTCACTAGGTGAGGCAGCCCCAGAGGCTGGCCGGCGCCCAGACCGGCAAGAGACAGCCCGGTCCTTCTCCTCCTGGGTCTGTGAGCACCAGCGCAGAGTGTGACCCACACCTGAGTGTTCACATTTCTAGAACCTTTCTGTCCTCTCGAGGTTGAAAACAAACTTAGTAAGAAGGTAGTCCCAGCTGTGGCAGAGCCCAGTCCACGGGGGCGGCTCTGTCCGGAACTGATGTTCTAAGCACCTCGGAAAAGCCCGGCCTGACAGTGCGATCCTCCCTCTCATTGGGCCCCCCCTGCTCTCCCTGCTGCCATGTGATGCCCAGTGGGCCCCTTGTAGGGGCTGAGACCAGCCGTAAGCCCCACCACTGCTCCTTCCTTGACCTCCCCAAACCCTTCTGACCCTTGGACCTCCAAGCAACTTGGAACATGACATCTACTATTTCACAGTTTAGGCTTCAGGGTTATTATGGACCAGCTAAAGGTCACTTAACCCAGGTTAATTTGGTGTGTTTTTACCAGAATTTTTGGTTTGGAGCACATACAGTCTACTTCATTGCCATTGCAAGATATTCCAGAACTTTGAGCAGAAAAGGAATTAACCTTGGCCTAAATGGCTTATTATAGTCCTGACTAGTTCATTCCAGCACCAGGCCTGGTACCCCCCATTAACCATTAGTGCAGCTGAGGTGTGAGGCATCATAGCTCTGGTCTAATGACACCCTGGGGCGAGTCAGCCATGAAAAAGCCATTCCTGGGGCGCTTGGGTGGCTCAGTCGGTTAAACGTCTGACTTTGGCTCAGGTCATGATCTCACGGTTAGTGGGTTCGAGCCCCGCGTTGGGCTCTGTGCTGACTGCCAGCTCAGTGCCTGGAGCCAGTTTCAGTCTGTGACTCCCTCTCTCTCTGACCCTCCCCTGCTCACGCTGTCTCTCTCTCTCTCTCAGAAATAAATAAAAACATTAAAAAATTTAAAAAAAAAGCCATTCTTTTCCTCGGAGACTAGGAGGGTCCCAAAAACAGGATCAGGAAACTTTCTTCATTCATCGTTATAATCATTAAACCCCACCCCAATCTGCGCATGTGCATGCATTTTCATATTCTGGAATTTCGCCGTCCTCTGTACCCAGAAAGTCCTTCAACGGTTCCCTGCTTGGAGAAATCCTGTTCATGCTTCAAACACCACCTCCTATGGAGCCTTTTCTGATTTTCCTACTCGTAACAAACCTTCTTTTCTTCCAGCTTCTCATAGTAGTACTTTGAGTCTTTCTCAGGGCATTCGGCCCGCTCTATCTTCTGGTTCCCACGCATGTCTCATTCACTAAGTCAACAATCAAGTAGTGCTTATTTGTACTAGGCACTGGGGGATACAGGGTGCTCTCACAGTTTCAGTGGAAGCCCAGAGCTGGGTGGAATTTTTACATCCTTCATTGGACTGGGAGCTTCTTGGAGACAGGAACTGGGTCTGCTCCCAACTAAGGGCTTGGCGCCCAAAAGTACTCAGAAAAGTTACCTTGAAATTCAGCACCAATGACTCTGAGAAAATCGGGTTAGAATTCAAAGAAAAGTGAAAAGTTAACAAAGGCAGGGTTCCAGAGTATTTTTGGGAGGGGCTCCAGGGGCTCTGAAATCAACGGTTTGGGCATGAAAGCCAGAGACATCCATGATCCCCAGTGGATTGGGCCTAGGGGGTAAGGGGGTCCACTGCCCTCCTCCAGGGCCAACTTGGGAGTTTGATGCAGGATCAGTTTGGACATTTATACACATTCCAGCCTGAAGATTTCTTTGCTTTGAACGAACACACCACGGAGGCAAGCACGTTGTCATGAGGGCCCAGAAATGAGTGACCAGCCAAGGGTCAAGTGGGTCAGATGATTAACACTACACTGTTCAGTTGGCACAAGAGAAAAGCATAATAATGTGAGTGTCATTCTTTGTGGAGGGCGTCTGGTTATCAGACACTGAAACAAACAAAAAAAAAATGTCATCTGAATTTTTACTAGGAATTCTCATCCAAAATGCGTCAGTGATGTAATAAAACTAAATGACTGGTCTGCCAAAGTACAATGAGTTCTAACCACACATAAGCATCACTTAGCATAAGCGCCTGGGATCTATTGATCCCAGAAAACGGTTCTCCTCTGAGGCCTGAAGGCAGGAGGGGCCACTGGAAGGGATTAGGGTCAGGAAGCACTTTATTTATGCACTATATACCATATTGTTCACTCCGGTCACCCCATTACGTTCAATCTTATTTTTCACTATCCGCTTGCCTGTGCAGAAAGAGCTCCAAAGAGAGAGAGGGGAAAAAAAAGCCTCAGTGTGTTCTTTGCCTCTAATTCCTTTAATGAAATAAAACTGTGAAAAACTATAATATTAAACAGCACCCAGTCATTCTCAGAGAACTACCACACAAGGAAAGAACCACTATTCCCCAAACTTTTTTGCATAGGAAATTAATCTAAATCCCACCTTCCACCACTTCCCCCAGAAGTTTCGATGGAGACCTACGTTTATTCAGTGAGTTGCAATTCAGCCTGGGCGGGGGTGGGGAGGGCGGAGTGCTCGAATTCAAGTTGCTTTCCCCGAGGGGTAACCCCAGGTCTTGGCGATATCTGCAGATCAATGAGATGCTGGTAAATTTGAGATGTAATTGCGGGATCGGCCCAGTTTTCCCTTTCCCTCGACAAATGGCTGCAGCCAGGTCCCTTTAAGAGACCAGGAACCCGCCGGGCGTCCGAGCCCGAAACGCAGCCTCTTCTCCGCTCCTCCCCTGTCCCCGCGCGCCGAATGGTTCGCGCCGGCCTATATTTACCCGAGATCTTCCTCCCGGACCGCAAGGATGTGAGGCTGGCCAGACGGACGCCGCTCGCAGCACGGGGCGGGCACGCCGAGCGGGCGGGCAGCAGTCCGGGGGGGGACCTCGGGAGCGGAGTCGGACACCCCCGGAGGGAAGAAATGAGGTAGCGACCGTCCCCGGAGCCGACCATGCGAGCGCGCCGCCCTCGGCGCCCCGCGCTGCCCGGGTCGAGCCAGCCGGGACAGTGAGCCGGCCGAGCCCCGGGACCCCGCGTCGGGCGGGAGCGAGGATGCAGTGAGCCGCCGCCGGAGCGCCGCGCCGGGCCCGCCGCGGCCAGCCGGAGCAGCGTGCGCCCGCGCTCGGGCCGAGCGGCCGATCCTGGGACCGGCCCGGCCGAGCCTCTCGGTCTTCAGCACCCCTTGTGGGCGGGGAGCGCTGGCCCCTGGGCGCCCTCGCTATCGAGTTTCCGCGGCTTCTAGTCTCAGCCCGGGGGAGAGAGAGGGTGTGTGTGTGTGTGTGTGTGTGTGTGTGTGTGTGTGTGTGTGTGTGCGCGCGCGCGCGGGAGCCCTATCCACGTTCGCCCAGGAGTTCCTGCATATTCTCGCCCCGTCCCGGCTGCTTTGGCCCGGGTCCCCTCTATTTGCACGCGCGCATCTCTTTTTTCCCTCTCATTCCGTCTTTCTCTCCTTTGGCCGGCCTAAGCCTCTTCGTGCTCGACCTTGCCCAGGTTGGGGTACATCTGTGCGCGCTTTTTCCCCCCTACGCTCGCAGCTGAATATTTTAATTTTTTTTTTACCCGTACCCACTTCGGTGGGGTCCCCGAGCACGCTACTCCCACCCCCCCCCTCCCACGGGGCCACTCCCAGCAGAGTTTTATTTTTCCGTCTCGCCCGGGCCGAGCCCGGCCGGGGCGGGTGGCCCAGCGGGGCTCGCACCCGGCGCTCCGCCGCCGCCCAGCTGCGCGGGGGCGCCCTCCGGAGATGCTGCCGTGGAAGAAGCACAAGTTCGAGCTGCTGGCCGAGGCGCCGCCGCGGCAGGCGTCCAAGCCCAAGGGCTACGCGGTGAGCCTGCACTACTCCGCGCTCAGCTCGCTGGCGCGGGCGTGCCCCGAAGGCGCGCTCAGCCGGGTGGGCAGCATGTTCCGCTCCAAGCGCAAGAAGCTGCACATCACCAGCGAGGACCCCACGTACACCGTGCTCTACCTGGGCAATGCCACCACCATCCAGGCGCGCGGCGACGGCTGCACGGACCTAGCGGTGGGCAAGATCTGGAGCAAGAGCGAGGCGGGCCGTCAGGGCACCAAGATGAAGCTGACTGTGAGTGCGCAGGGCATCCGCATGGTGCACGCCGAGGAGCGCGCACTGCGCCGCCCGGGCCACCTCTACCTGCTGCACCGCGTTACCTACTGCGTGGCGGACGCACGGCTGCCCAAGGTCTTCGCCTGGGTCTACCGGCACGAGCTCAAGCACAAGGCGGTGATGCTGCGCTGCCACGCGGTGCTGGTGTCCAAGCCCGAGAAGGCGCAGGCCATGGCCCTGCTGCTCTACCAGACGTCGGCCAACGCACTCGCGGAATTTAAACGGCTCAAGCGGCGGGACGATGCGCGTCACCAGCAGCAGGAGCTGGTGGGCGCGCACACCATCCCTCTAGTGCCGCTGCGCAAGCTGCTCCTGCACGGACCCTGCTGCTACAAGCCGCCGGTGGAACGCAGCCGCAGCGCGCCCAAGCTGGGCTCCATCACCGAGGACTTGCTCGGCGAACAGCAGGAGCAGGAGCTGCAGGACGAAGAGGAAGAGGAGCACATCGAAGGCTGCCTGGAGGAGGAGGAGGAGGACCGAGCTGGGGACGAGGACCCGGCGGCGGAAGAGGCCGAGGCGCAGCGGGCGCTGGTGGTGGCCATGCACTTGGAGTGCGGGGGCTTGCTGGACACGCTGGAGAGTGGCCGCGAGGAGGCGCTAGGGGGCGGCGGGGACTCGGTGGGCCCCGGGGCCGGGCCGCAGCCTCTGCTGCCGGGCAGCGCGTCGGACGTGAAGGCCGAGCTGTCGCAGCTTATTAACGACCTTGGCGAGCTCAGCTTCGGCAACGACGTGCGCAGCCTGCAGGCCGACTTGCGGGTGACGCGCCTGCTGTCCGGCGAGAGCACCGGCAGCGAGAGCTCCATCGAAGGCGGGGGCCTGGACGCCACCTCGGCCGCCGCCGCCGGGGACCGGGCGGGCCCTGGCGACAGCGCCGGCCCAGAGCACCCCCACTAGGGCCGAGATGCCGGCTGCCCCCTGCGCGCCCCTAGCGCCCCACCTTGACTCCCCACCGGCCTTTCCGGACAACCTCCTCGCCGCCCTCCTCCCCTCTCACCCCCCACGCCCCCGGGAGCGGGGGAGTGGGACCCCTGAGGCCCGGAGTTACCCTGCCCCTTCCCCTTCAGCACGTTGGCTGTTTGAAGAGGGGCTGAGGTTGCTGGTGGAGATGTGCGAGGGGGCAACTCCCAACTCCCGCACGGAAGGAGAGAGAGGCAGACCCTGGGGTGGGGGTGGGGGAAGGGCCCTCCAGTTTGCAAAGTCCTACAGGCAAGAGGTGCCTGCTGGCCAGTTTCCTGTTTGTGGGGCGGCCGGGCCGAGGAAGGGGGGTTAATTTCCTCTCCACCCCACCGACCCCGCCGGAATAACAGTAACAGGGAGCGGCCTGGGGCTGTCCTTGACGTGTCATTAAAAAGAAAAAAAATCTGCTCTCACAATGTTCGAGGCTGGAAATGCCACCTCCTTGCCCCAGTCTTTCTGGTGCGAGAGCTTGGGTTGTTTACCTCAGGCTCAGACCCTTGAAATTCTGCCAAATTCCTCAAATAACTGTTTAGGGGTGGTGGGGGGGGGAGTGGAATGAAAGAAAGTTGCATTTTGTTTACAGTTAAAGACGTCTAATATCTGGAAAAGGAGTTTTCCTCTCAAAACACACACCTTCCTTCTGCTCAAAAGATCTCCCTCCATGATACCGTGTAAAATATTTTGCACTGTTGTGAAGTATTTTCGACATTTCTGTTTTGTACATAACTGTGTTCTCAGAGCTAAACGTTTATATCTTTTGCTGTGCAAAAGGGACATGTAAAATGTTGTTCAGTTGTACATACGGAAATGTGTATAAAACATTTTGTTATTTTTTAAGAGAAGCCCTGCTCTGGTCTGTTTGCACGTCCTGCGGGGAGAGAATAAAGAGGCCGATGTAAGAGAACAGGTGAGCGTCTGAAAGTAGTGCCTGCGCCCTTGGGCTGCTAGAGGGTCTGTCTGTCCATCCGCGGGGACGGGGGTTTGAACTTGGCAGTGCTTGGAGGTGACCGGAGGAGGCGACCCGCTGTCCCACAGTCTGGGCCCTTTGCGGCCCTCCTCTATGGTGGGTGCGATGGCACGTGCCAGCCCTCGCCTTCTCTTTGAGTGTAGCCTCTATATGCCTCACCCAGTGAATTGGGGGGGGGGGGGCATGGGCCTTTTCTGGTGTCTCTGAGTCAATTCCTGGAGATGCAGGGTGAGTCCCAGACATGTGAGGTTATCTAGGGGAGGAGTGACGTGCAAGGTCTTCTGAGGTCTTACTGCCTCCTTCTGGGGTTCGCCTTTTCCTTTACAGACGGCTCAAGGGGACTGAAAGATCAGCTGGAGGCCTACAGAAAGTGTCCGTGGGGGCGCTGGGAGGGAAATCAAGGACAGAGGGAGGAAGGTTGGGGAGCTGTGATGCGGTGGGAATGAGTCACCGCGCAGGTGGGTCGGGCGGGCGGAAGGACCGATTTCCTTCCCTTCTACACCCCGGCGTGACCCAGAGGGGGGAATGGTGTGGAGGTCAAGGCAGACAAGAACTGTCAGAGCTGTGTGTGTGTTTGTCTCGGGGTTTGCAGGCTTTCTGTGTGCTTGTTTCTGTTTAAACTCCAAACAGATGTCTCTGGTTTGGCTACACCGGATCAGCTGGAAGTTGTAATAAGATGCTGCCAAAACTGTGCCTTCCTCAAATTATGTTTTCCCTTCGCCCCTTTGGGCTCTGTTTCCTGTGTTGCAGAAATGGATCCCACTCCCGGCCTTCCTTGCTGTCCCGAGGCCACTGCTTTGTTTTCATCATAATTATGTCTTTCTTTAAAACAATGTTTTGTTTATTTATTTTTAGTTTTTTTAATGTTGATTTTTTAATTTTTTTGAGAGAAAGAGAGAGACAGACAGAGCGTGAGCAGGCAAGGGGCAGAGAGAGAGAGAGAGAGAGGGAGACACAGAATGCGAAGTAGCTCCAGGCTCTGAGCTGTCAGCACAGAGCCCGACACGGGACTTGAACTCATGATCCATGAGATCATGACCTGAATGGGAGTCGGACGCTTAACCAACTGAGGCCCCAAATCATAATTATGTCTTGAGCAGCTAGACCCAGAGATCCTGAGAAGTCTGGAGTTTGTTGGAGCCATAGAGGAAGGGAGGGTGAAAGATTTTCTTAATTAACAGGAGTGGTTCAGGCATAAGATTAACTTTAGAAAGGGAAGGCAAGGGGTGGATGGGTGTGTGGGTGGAAAATAACTAAAAGATACTCGGGATCACTTCTTAAGGGCATTAGGACAAGCTCCAGGCCTTTGAATCTGTTATATTTTGGTTTGGTTGAGTCCCTGTCCCTCTCCCACAAAACCTCAGATGCACATCACTGCATGACATTTAAAACCCCCAGGTCGAGAAGGGTCGGGAAAGTCCGATCCCACCGTCCCCAGGTGCTCACAGTGTCCCTTCGTGCAGCCCTCACCTGACTGGCAGGCAGCTTGTGTGGTCCATCCCTGTCCTGCATGACTACATTTCACATTTCAAATTATTTTTTTTTAATTTTTTTTAATGTTTTTATTTCTAGGAGAGAGAGAGAGACAGTGTGAGCAGGGGAGGGTCAGAGAGAGAGGGAGTCACAGACTGAAACAGGCTCCAGGCTCTGAGCTGGCAGTCAGCACAGAGCCCGACGTGGGGCTTGAACCCACGAACCGCGAGATCATGACCTAAGCGAAAGTCGGACGCTCAACCGACTAAGCCACCCAGGCGCCCCACATTTCAAATTATTTTCACACATTGCAAAGTCCCTCTGCTCTTTGAACCTGGTGAGAACATTACACAGGGTGAAGACCATACAGCTAATACTTGGTGGTGGGGCGGGGTCTGTGCGTCTTCATTCTTAACCAGTTTATGTGCCCATGACAGTGCCAGGGTTGGCTTTCACCTGTGACTGATGGGGGTATGGCGACTGGTCAGAAAGTTCAGAGAAATGGCAATTAAAACCAACACCACCAATAAATATAAGGCAACTGTCTCCTTAAAGTCTAATTTTTCCACCTATCTGGTTTACAAATAGGGAAGGGGGACTTCAGGGTTGAGGAAGGAGGAAGAAGAAAAGCAAACTGCGAAAGAACTGGCTCCCTTCCTCCCTCCCTCCCTCCTCCCCTCCCTCCTCGCGCCCTCCCCTTCCGTCCTTCCTCCCCTCTACTTTTTGGCTTTGATCCCCACTACACCCCACAGCAACTCCCGCTGATGTAATTCTAGAAGAGATGCGAAGGTGACACATGATTCACCTCTTCTTACATCTCAGTCTTCCAGGGATGATATCACTAGTGTAAGAAGAGAAGTTTGAATGGAGAAAACAAAAACTGAACACTAATTTGCTCCTGACACTCGGAGGGCAAAGAGTGTTGTGACCACAGCAAACCCAAGTACGTAGATGAAACACACGTCCCAGAGAGCACCTGAGGTCCCATTTAGCCTCTCCTTGCAAGGCGAAGCTCGCATTTCTCCTTCGCGTCACCTGATGGCACTTTAAATGCCGTGAGATGCTTGGCGCATTCTTCCCCAGCCTGAGTAATCCTCTGTGTCCGACAGTGCGCCATCGACCTGGAGAAACATGGAGTGACTTCCGGCGACAAGAGATGTCATTGCAGGAAGGCAGTGTCCACAGAGGAGGCATTCAAGTGCAAAAATGTCATCCTGTGTTCGTTCGTATGGTATCTTGTGGGATGATCGGGAGCGAGGGAGAGGTAGGACTGTACAAAAGAAACAATAGTATTACCTACCCTCTCAACGATCAGAGTCTCAGAGAACACCCGCTCTGCATACACGCATGCTCCTCCCCAAAGCGGACCTTCCCATCACTGCCCCCAGCGGGACGGATTTTAAACAAATTAGAAAGGCCCTGTTATACTAAGAAAGCACAGTTCCCTCCCAGGGACACAGCTGCTTTCAAGGGCCCTGCTCCCCAAAGGAGAGAGAGCTGGCTGGTAGAATCCACCCCTGGCACCACTCTGGAGATGGAAAAACCTCACGGGAGTCGCCAAGGATCACGAGAAACATAAAAATTCTATTAGGAGCAAGTTGCCCTCATTTCTAGCAAGATTTAGTAATTTAATAAGCAGAACTCTTTCCTCCACGTGGTATGCTTCAGCGGTCCTCGCGTCTGCTGGCGAGTGATGCATGACAGAGCCAGGAGTGTGCGGGGACCGGGCACCCTGACACGGGGAACTGCTCAGGGCTGCCAGAGGGCCAGGGAGCTCTGTACTCGGGGCACCAGGTTGTTCCGCACACAGCCGCATCTGGTCTGGCTTTATTGTCCACTGGGGCCTTTGCTGCTCCTGCCCAGTTCCTCAGTGTTCACAGGCCACCGTGGGCCTGGGGCCAGCCAGCACCTCCCCACCCCCCCACCTGCTCCGAGGTGACACCATTTGAGCAATCCTGACTAACCACCATTTTCGTGGCTTGAATGGCCAGGAGGCCCTGCAGCTTGACACCCATTCCTTCCCCTCTCCGGCTCTGTGCAGTGGTACCAGCAATGTAAGGTCTGCTCAGACCTTACACCTAAAAGGAAAGAAGGCCCAAACTTTAAGGGACAAACCAATCGAACACACAGCCAGCAGTCAGCACCAATCCTGTAGTCCCTGGGCATGCTCTGGCCCTGTTCCCCAATTACAGATGAGCAGACTGAGCCATAGAGGGGTGAGGTCATGGCCAAGGCTACACAGGAGGGATCAAGACCCAGGGGTCCAGACTCTGAAACCCACGCTCTTTTCATGTTCCTGCAGTTTTTATGGCTTCTAGCCAGATTTCTGGTTTTGGGACGGCAGAAATGGGCAGTTGAATTTTTCTTTGCTTCCCCCTTTCTTTGGTACCTCTACATTTCATCCAAGGTAGATGCTCGATCATAAATATTTGTCATGCCATTCATCAATATGCCAACTTCCGCCACTACGTGCGAATGAGTATCTACTAGCTGCATGATGCTGGAGGTACAGAGGGCAGGGGACGGCTTCCTGGCAAGAATGCTCCTGGTGGGTGGGGTGGTGGCCCCCAGAGGAACCTGGTCTCCCTCTTGCTTCTACCCTGAGATCTGGTCTGGCAAGTTCTCACCTAGAAGAGCAGGTCTAGTTTGAGGGTGGGGGAGCTCTTCCCATTGCATCATGCTTATTAATCATCTGTATCCTTCCTGGTTGGCTGAGGACTCCAAGGACAGGCATGTGTTTTTAGGCACCTCTGATTCACCAAACTTAGCACAGAGCCTTGCACCTAGTTAGTACTCAGTAAAAGCTAAGGAGGAAAGGAGCGATTCTACGTCAGAGTAGGAGAATAGGTCTGATAAAGCTCAAGAGTATTTACCTGGATGGAGGAGTCAAGCTTTTAAGGACCAGTGTCTATAAAGAGTGAAGATTGGGGTTCAACTGACCCAAGATTTTCCTTAGAACTTCCCTGATCGTCCTAGGGAGGGGTGGCCTGGTTTGGAGAAGGATGGGTTATTTGGAATTGGCTCTGGATGGGATTGGAGTCCCATTCCTGCTCATCTCAGCCCCAGGGTTATGGCCCCAACCTTCTGATTTGAGTCAAATGAAGGCTCAAATAATGTGGTGTGGTGGAAAGCCTGCAGGAAGAGCCTTGGATCCGGGCCTTGAAGTGACTTGGAGTCCCTTCTCATTGACCTAATCAAGTGACTTCCCCCCACTGGCCTCAGATCCTCATGAGTAAAGTGGATGGGTTCGATTATGTAATAGCAAGACTTTCAGCATTAATGTCCTGAATTGAAGGAGCAAAGGTTAAGGTCAAGTGTGTTTCTACCTTCCTCCATTCCCTAGTGGGACAGAATAGAAGAAGCCTCTGGCCTGGAGCTCTGGGAAACAGGGCTCATCTTTAGGACGCATTGTGGCCTGGACTCCCCACCGGAGTTTAACTTAGAGGTCTTCTTGGCTAAATAGA